ATTACCCATCATTTTTCTTAATGCGTGCCTAAAATTTGGCCTAATGCACCAAAGTGTTTCCAGCTCGTAGGAATCATGCAAAGCTGTGTGTGCACTGCACGAATTGGATTAAAGCACTTCGTGCAGATTGTTTGTGAAGTTCTGCAAATAGAAATAATTTTCGTGTTACATAATTTGCAGCAAAAATTGCTAATAAAAAAAGAGTCGCGCGGCATGAATGGGACTGTCTCAAAATCAACACAATCGAAAAATAAGACGCTCGCAAATCAAATGCAAATCCTGCGCATTTTTTGAGACGTAAAAGTCGTCTCAATAATTTGCGTCCGGGAAAATGTGGACCACACGCTAGAAGGCGGAGCCAACCAGCCACAGCAACACTCAGTTTCCTTTTCAGCCCAACGTTTCCATGGCAAAACAGTCGAGTGGCCACGGCAAAGGCACAATCCACAATAAACACACCCCTGCAGAGACCACCAAACCCAGCACCAGCACCAGCACCAGCCAGCGCGACCATCCCCTTATATCGAACGGCCAATGATGGACTTCCTAAAATGTCCTATACACTGTACCAAGCACAGATATAGGTACGGTATAATAAACATGTTGGTTCGAATAAAGGTTCGTCTTGGTCCTACGATGGCCAGCAAAAAATATAAGTTTTGGTGTAGTCACTCAATAATCGTCTTCGTAACAACTCACTTGGAAGAACTTGCAACAAGCCCTACCGCCGTCTCGCAGTCAAGCTAAGTACGCTAATATCCGTCGACATGCAGCACCAGTCACTGTGGCGTCGAACTCTACGGAAGCGACTAAACTGTTTGCTGCGCATTCGTATGGTGGATCGTGTACACAACTACCTTACGACCTCATGATTGATTTTAAACGCGTGTTGTGCATAGACATATACGTACAAGTCGCGGTGCGAGAAGTCGTTTACCAACACGGTATCTCTGGACCCAGACACGTACGACTTGTTGCTACAGGCATTTAGTCGGCTCTACATCGTGCAATCGGGACCATATGGCCGGCCACGTCGATTTGCTTCAAAGAATAATGCTCTGGCCTGTGTGCTTCATCTGTATACTGCTGCCGTGACACTCGAAACGTTGTATGAGCTCTTCAAGGTTCCTCATTCCACAATGAGCAGAACCACTTACAAGGCTAAGCTATCGCTAATGCCAGCGCTCCAAGCGATACCAGAAGCCGCGGTGAGATGGCCATCGTTTGGTTTAGAGAGTGATTGGGCGGATAAAGTTTCACGGAAAGAAGGCCTTATTAAGGGGTGCTTCTGCGTTGCCGATGGAGGAACTATGTAGTACTGGCTCCGACTAATAGCGACTTGCAGAACGCAAACTATAATGATAAGAAAAAGTGGTTTTGTGCTACATTATAGATATAATAACTTATGTTTTGTTTCGTAGGCTGGCTGCACATTGTTAACGGGACTGGTGTTTTGTGTTATGGCTTCGATGGTAGGGTAAACATAGTATTCCAGGATCCTAGAATGATGGCGGAATGAGCACCAACTTCAAGGTGTGACTGACCCCAAACTAACAATGGTTGGTGGTTGCTGTGCAATGAATTCCGCCTTTTCTGTCAGCGAATCTGCAGAATGAGAACTATCACCCCTCCCAAGGATGGCGATCTAGAGCGTGACAGTCCTGAGTGCAAAGCAGGATTGCATGGAATGAGCGCTTCCATTACATCGATAAGACAAGCGGCTGAATGAGGCATGAGCTGTGCATCTAAGCGCTACCGACGTTTGCTTTTGCCACTTCCGTATAGCCCAGCCGATCGTTCCAGACTTGTATGGGATATCTATCACCTTTACAATTTACGCGTGCGTACCACTGGTATTAGCCAGACTCGAACTGTGCTTGCAAGATAAAAGCATTAAGAGAAATATTTTTTGTAGCTGCATTTTATCCTTTGAATAAAATCGTCTTTTATTTACACAGTGCGTTCATTAAGATTTGTTAGGCTTGAATTATTCACCGATCTATTACCGTCCAGGTCATGTATAACTCTCTAGTCGGCCGTCTCTTCACTTTGTGTTACGTTAATCGTTTGGCTTCCCAGGCCCACGGGGCTGTGAATATTGCTTACGAGGCGAGCCATGAGTATCATCATCATTTGTTGGTTTGCTGATGCGCGATCATCTCGCTGGCACTAATATCTCTCTCGTTCTTGCATATTTTGAGCCTCGCGAGCTTCATGGCGTTCCTCCATTGCCATAAACGTGGCTACGCCATTATTCATCCGGCTCGTTGCGCTTTCTTCCGCTCTAATACTGCTTTCGGCATTGTCGGATATTTGGTCTTTCTTAAAATACGACGACGCGCAGTTTGTCTTAGAGACACAGTGTCAGCTGACGATGCCCGTCTTTTTCCAAGTGTTTTTGAAAGCTCTGCCAACTCCGAAGGCTCGGGTCCAGCTCGCGCCGTCGCCTGCAACGGAGCTGACGTAGCTGATTGTGTCACTTCTGATTGAGGTGATTGCATCATAGCCGACGGAATGAAGCTCGCCGAACCTAAGGTTGCAACAGTAGTGGATACATTCTTGGCTGTAGACGGCGAATTTGTAGAGTCGACCAGCTGTAGCTCGTCTTGGTGATCAAGTCGTAGAGTTATAGATAGACCCCCGTCATATGTGGCCTCTATGTCGTCGTGAATATCTACAACAGAAGCCGAAGCCTTAATCGCGTATTGAAGACGTTTGGCTCGCTGCACCTTTGCAGGACATACACCATTACCTGTATCGTTGATTTAGAGTTTTAACAGTTAAATGCTAAGAGTATAGTAAATGGGTGGTACAAGAACGAAATACTCGTACCCGTCGGCTTTGGAACACGGACAAGTTTTTGATGCTTTCGCCTTAAGCTTTTGCCGTCTCTTTTATTCCATTCAGCAAGGTTTGTTACTGTAAGAAATCGAAGCCATGTTCTGCCACTGCTCAGCAGCAAGAGGAAGAATATCCCCAACTTTGTCGAGTAGACCCGTAAACATATAGGTGGATTAGCCTAGCACCCATTAGCGAAACTAAATAAATGTACCTACGCATCACTTCGGATGTGGTGAAATGTTACCCCTTAGTCTTGCCCTTTGCCATTGCGGATGATGCAGTGGGCCGGTTCACACTGCCCGGATCCGGCAAAGCTTGAGTTCGTTATGTTCGCACTATGCCGGAAATCAACAGAAAAGGTGCAATATATACCACCTGCTAGTGTATAGTTTGGGGACAGCTGGTATGCATATGCTTGAGTTTGTATACCCCGGAATAGCTGTGCACCAAGTATACACCGGAGCCGGGCAGTGTGAACCAGGAAAAGGTTCTGGTTGCTCACCAGACCGTTGTGCAGGGAGAACAATCAATTTTCTACGTCTTCGACGCTTTCGATAGCCCCAGTGTTGGTGGAGACGCTCATCTCTATGAAGTCAACATGGCCTGCGGAACATGCACGCGTTGTACTGTTTCAGAGCAGTTGCGAATTCCTTGTCGTCATATGCAGGCAGTAGCTTATTGGAGATCCAAGCAGAAGAACAGTAAACTTCCAACCTATGACATCAAACGATACTTCCACCATGCGTACACAGTTTCAAAATATTGGGAGGCGTTGGAAAAAATTACGATCCGGCTTCCTCTTTATGATGATCTCGAGCAGACAGACCAAATCAAACCTCCACCCCTGCATCGCCAAGCTGGGCGCTCGTTCAAGCGATCGAAAGAATCCGCAGACTTCACAGCAGGACTAAAAGAACACAGAACCGTGGTGAATGTGCAGGTTCTTTTATCCCGACTATGCGTGCACATTCAAATGAAGAGCTTCCTTCCGATGCTGACTGCCATGGCGAGAGTAAGGCAATAGCAGCGTTATTCAGCGCGCAGGTGAAGGAGCTATCGCGATCAAACGAGAACCGTACACATGCAGCCGTTGCAACAAGACTGGCCACAACGTTCGAAGATGCACGACACCGCTAGCAGAATTAACAGAATATCTTCCTACTGCTTCAACAGTGAGATAATATTCTTATAATGCATTAGGAATTATCTTCTATCTTCAGCTTAGTTTCTGCTCTCTTTCTCGTACTCAGCACGTTTCCCGCAGGCAGTAAAAGGACATTCACCAACGACGTACATGCCTGGTACAGCTCTGACACTCACTTCTGTAAATAATAAAAAAGATTGAGGATGAACGAGCTCACGTCATCAAAACATTTTTCCTATATAATACTGACCTTTATTACACGACCCGTGTGACCTTCGAGAACAGCCCAATAGCTTCATCATGAGCACATCTCTGGGGTAGGGACCAAAGAATTTGTGTTCAGTATTTTTAGATGATCGAGAAGAGTATATTATAGTGCGCAGAAATATACAGAGAGGTCAGTGATAGGTTATTGAGACAAATTTATAGCGAAATTGATGGAATATCTTCGTGAGTTTACAGCTCAATTGGGGTAAGTTCACCATGACTATGCTCGTCTCGACTACGTAGCCAACACTTATATCGTTTCCATACACAGTACTTTCATAACAATGAAACAAGCGTCAGCATTGATAATGTCAGCAATATGCACTAAATAGACACATACCTGCGCTCCTGCATTGACCGAGCTGCAGATAGTAAGCGCGTCGTGATCTGATAAACGCCTGTTACCACAAAAGCAATCGACGTCGTCAGAACATGCAAACAAAAAAAAATTGTCTACGCGTGGCAACCTCCAAGATCTCACTGCTATCTCCCCAGCAAAAGCTACCGTTGTGTGTCTTATCGAACGAGTCGGGACGCGCTTGTGGTGGCATGGCGGCCGTGGTGGAGACATGCATCGACGTTTGCTAGATGCTTAGCTTTACGGTTATGCAAAATGAAAAGTGAGTTATTTATTTTAGACCAATCACAGCGTCTGTATCTGCTTCTGATAAATTGATCGTTCGTTGTATCATCCTCTTGATAGCTATCCCTTATCATAGATTGGTACATGTATGACTTTGGTTCACAGATGGTACGTCACATGGGAGAGATTTGGTTCTAAGCCATAGGCGATTTTTGGTAGTCCCTCAATGAAAGACTACATTTTAAAAAGGAGACATTTATTGCCCTTGAAAAAGAACCAAAATTCGTTCAGCCCAATTTTTGTCCTTTGAAAAACGGCCAAAATTTGTTTAAGTACGACGAAGCCAATAATTGAACGGGCATCTGTACCGTTTCTTCATTTCACTGCACTCAACTGAATCGCCTTCTCGACAAACCGCAGCCAAGTCCAAAGATGGCAAGTTGATATTATATATCAGTGGCTTTTCGTCCGTAGCCTACTGCTACCGCTATCATTTGTCGCCGGCGTGTGTGTCTGACGAGATGCTGGTGCTCTTCCTGCTGTCAGCACTATTATTCTTAGTGTGTGCTACTGAAGCTTCGCCTTACATGATGGAGACGACAGCGATCTACAGGGACGAAACCTGCAACGGATCCGCTGTCAACGTACTGTGGACAACGACAACTGTACTGCCGTTGCCTGCTCGCCTAAAATATTCGGGGATAGCACCAACTACTACGAGACTACCATTTGCTACTCGACGGACAGATTATCGTACAGCCCGATGGAAGACCTTTTCCTCGGCCAAACGTTCCTCGAAGGCCAAGCGTACGGCGACAATAATTGTACGGACGAAGCGTACAAATACCGTCAAGGGCTACTTGTTGGGGAGTGTGAGCCGTTCACGACGAAAGACAACTACATGTATAGCGTCAGTGCCACGCTCGCAAGCAATGGATCAGTGGTCATGTCTATATACAACAACACAGCGTGCACCGATCTACCGATAACAACCTACGCGCTGAGAAGCGATACCTTGGCTAGCCATCTCTGCTACAATGATACCGGGTTGGCTCAATACTTCGTTAGATACTACGTTCACCAGGCAATAGTATAAAGACACGTTCTGGAGCTTCTAGTAATTACGCGGCGATCGTTGGAGGGGTCGTGGCTGGATTTGCGGTGATGTTGGCGGTCGCAGCGGTAGTAAGCAAAGAGCGAAGCAGCAGCAGCAGGTGGAGTGATGTTGAAGGCTCTGATCTCTGGACCGCAGACGTATACTGAATCAAGTGCAACTCGGCGCGTTAATTAGTCTTCCTCACGTCGTCAGCTCCATTGGTGCGGCGTGGGACTCACTCGTGGATCTTGGCTCCATCATGGACCAAGGAGCTCTAAAAACAATGCTGGCGAAAACGCCGGCTTGGATGTTTCACTTTCGCTCCAGCCGCCGGGTCGATACAGGCCCAGTCAGTGCACATTTTCTCGGACCTGTACTGTTCCTCCCACGGCACGACGTCGTTGATCTGCAGCACTTTCGGTAGTTGGTAGTCGGATTCCTGCAGCTCGACGACAACAGATCGGGGTTTCTAGCGCGGCGAACGAATTTGGTGATGTTGGATTACTTGCAAGTGGACGTCTACCTTGAATCCGACTGTAAGGATTCATACGGTCAAGACGCTCTGCTCGCATCGGGGCACTCTGGTGACGGGAGTTCTGTCACGGCATAGCTCTTTTCGAGCGGGTCGACTAACCTTCAGTACTTCGTGGACTCGGCCTGCTCGATCACAAACCCCATTTATATACTTCGAAGTATCAGCAAAAAGGTCATGACTTAGTCCTGACCTTGTGACCTGGTATCCGCTGATAAGCGGCACGAATCGGATGTTATCTTGAAGATATCACGATTAGGTCCTGACCAAATATAAGCAATTATATTGGTCATAAAGCAAGCCAAATATTGTAAACGTCAATTTCCAGCTTGTTGCAGCACGCAAGACTCACAAGACGACGGGGGTGCCGGCTTTTCCGTCTATGCAAGGTGTTAGCAAGGAGACGGAGACGGACTTCGCGACGTACAAGGCCATGATGTCGGAGGTGACACTAATGCCTGCTATTGAAGAGACGGGGCTGGTTGAGAATTCTACGAAGCTCACGGACTGAGACGTCGTTGGTCGAAAGCATCCGAGAAGTGGTCAAAAGTGGATAACGACGGTGAGAGTAGCGTCTACATAGAATGCGTGAGATGACGTCTCCTCTGTACATTGTAGAGACGCAGGAGCTGGCCAAAGCGTCGTGCCGACTTCCGACTACAGAGACATAGAGCCCAAGCCGGACGACTTGGCCGTTGAAGACGGAGCTCGAGTTACCACTTGCGATCGTGACCAAAGGTCCTACCGACACAACTACAAGACCATGATACAAAACAGCAGCTAGCTCGACCACGCGTAGGTAAGAAGCAATGTATCATGCACTAGTTGTAATGATTTTTTTTTACTTTTTGCCAATTAGCTATAAATGCTTATTTTGTTTTCTTTTTGCTTAGATACTTCGAGAAAGCGTCGGTGCTCCTTCTTCCGCGCTCAATTTCGGCGCGGTCCAGCGCGGATTCGATTGAAAGACCTCCACCAACCAGTGTTTGTACGTGTTTAATCACACAAAGACGTTTTGAGAAAAACTTCGCCTCCCTTGGCGATTGACGCCATTTTGTACCGTACGTACTTTCGAGATACTCAATAGATGGTTTGTTTGCGATTCCTTCGTGCCATTCAGCCCACAGTTTATTCACTGTTGAGATCCCTCTGCTCATAGAATATTTTGGTGATGCGCCAAAGGTTGATGTTAGATGAGCGTCACTAACTGTACTACTCGTTGGTTGACTTTGAGCAGGCTCGTGATGTTCATTATCAGTGCTATCAGCTCTGGCGGGGGCAGCCACAGGTGACAGGCGAAACATCATGTTTCCTTGAAGCATGGACGTAAAACTCTCTCGAATTTCTTTGAGCAGCTGTAGCACCTCGGTGTGCTGAGAGGCTAACTTATTCATTGTTTCTGAATGTTGTGTACTTATGTGCTCCGACAATAGAGGCATTGCAACCTGAAGATTTTTTTCCACAGGACTTTTGGCACTAGCTGCGCCAGCCAAAGCCTGAGTTCTATATTTCTGGAAAAAGATTCTCCAAATATAATATGGTCACGAATGCGAACAGGGAGATGGTCAAAAAGCACAGCTCGAAGGTGTTGGAGCAGATCTAGGAATCCTCGATCAGCCAAATTGTGATCCCAATTGCCATCTAAAATTTGTTTTTGACAATTTTCGATGTCAGGAAAAACTAGACGCTGTAAATCCAAGGGTGGTTCAACTGTTGCTCTCTCCAGAAAGTATAAACGCGAACGCGCTGGATGTCCTGATAGAGCACGCATGGCCTCGCGGGCAAGAGGGGTAGAATACACAGCCTCGCATGTGTCCATACCCCATCTACCATGTCGCCGGGTTTGGATAATATCCACATCGGCTGCTTCCAGCTGACGTACGCCCTGCTGGCGATTTATATGTGTCTTTTTGTTGAATGTGAGACTGAGGTGCTGGAACACAGCTTCGTAACTCTTTTTATGGGTGTTGTACGTAATAGATTGGGTTTTCTGTCAACCGCGTAAAAACTTAATATCCTACCAGTCTTTCGCCTGCCTAAACGATGGGAATGGCTCCTGCTTCACGTGGAATAGCTCAAATAGGTACAAGGCGACGCTGCCAACTGGACAAACGTGCACATCTTTGTTGCGCATATACCCGACATGCTGCAGTTTGCCAAATGTGTTGGTCTCTCCATGCTGAATCAGCAAAACAAGAGCAATGCAGGGCTGAAAGCCTTCATGATCTAGTCTCTGCGAGAACATGTCAGCTAGCTCCAAATAGCGGACATTCTCACTACGCAACAGACCAAAATGTGAAAGAAGAAAGGCAGTACGCCCTCGTAAATCATCCAGCGAAAGAAAAGTATCACAAAGTTGCTGGAATTGTTCGGCGGAGGAATAGCCGTCCAGTAAGGATCCTATTCCTCTATCTTCGTAATTCGTTTTTCGTGTCTTTGTCGATTGAGCTTGAACATTTTTTATTAGCTGCTTTACCGAGGTGGTTCTTGGATGCAGGTTTGAACTTGTGCGCAGCGTAACTTGCGGATTGTAAAGATCGATAATAGCGTTTACGTATCCACAAACAGTGGACCCTCCGATGGTTTTATCCTTGTCTTTCTTCGACTTCCGACCTATCACACTACTAGAGAGAAAAAGATGCAGTTTTCCCCCAGTCACCGTGTTATGATCACGAAAATTGCGATCGGCACACCACTGCATAAACTCGTTTTGATATCTATCGTACTTTCGCTTCGTATTGACCGGCCGCGAGCTCAACGTTGTCTGTATTGTCGCTCTCTCGCTTTCTTCGATCTCAAACTGCACAGTGCAATCATGTTCTGATTGAGCTGGTGTCAATGCTGCTGCAGCGACAGCACACGAGCGAATCGACATCCCCGAACTCCGGGCCATTTTTGTCTATGATCTGGGGCTGAGCTGGTGTTTCTCAAATTGATGGTAAAAATGGATATTTAAATTAGGTCTAAAAATTGACAGTGACTCGGGTCAGGGCCCATACAACCGACTGGCTGATACTCATTAAGTATCAAAAGATCTCCTCACAAATCACACGTGCTACAGCGGTAGTCAAGCTCGGGCGGATCAACGACGAACGGGGTCGTACATCATCGCACACTTCGTTGATGTTAGTGTCGGTCTCATTGCAGGCATTGCAGTCGGGTGTATTGCTCTCTTGTTATTTGTGATGGAGTGTTGCTGTTGACGACGCCGGGACAGGAACACACATTACGTGGAGATGGGTCGGTAGCGTTGATAAGTGGCCTTTTATTTGATTTTTTATGTGTTTTTTTTATCTAAAGAAGCCTTAGAAGATGCGATTCTAACATGTATGCACACATTAAAAGTAAATCGGGTTGTTAACTGAGTGAGATTTTCGAGAAACTGACCAAGCTCGATGGTGGAGTTTGTGTATCCTTGGACCCAAACCAGAGACCAACTGCAGCGGAGGCGCTTTACCAACAGCAGAGAATCTTGGTCAACGAGCTGTCTTAAGCAACTATGGACCATTTCAGCGTAAAGTAAACTTTTAAAAAGGTTTCCATGAAGATGAAGTAGTTTCAAAAGTTGAAGTAAGTTCACTTCTCGTTTTGAGCAATTGGTTGGCTCTTGGTGACCTCGCATATTCGGGTGCAGATATGTCTGTATTGATAAGTTCATCGTCTGGCACTGGGCGCCTTCCAAAACCCACATAAAAGTTTTGATCACCCCCCGTTTTTACGCAAGTTTAATTCTGCGGGTAGGTTTTGTTTTCGTCAAGTAAACAGAAACTCGAACTCCAAAACCACTTTCAAAAGTTTAATGCGTTCAATATGAAACGCACCTATGGTGCGCATAGCTTACATTTATATATACTTTAATACGTGGGACATGCAGTAACTGGACAATTTTCTAAATATTTTGTCTAGATGTAAAGATGTGAAGGCGCGAAAGATCGCGTAACTTCAGTGACGTTCATCTGAGACTCTACCGAAGCCCCATTTCATCGAGCGAGCGGAGAGATTATGGCGGGGGACGCTGAGTGACTGCTGCTGGTGGCAGCTGTAAGCACGAGAATACGTCTGTCACGGGCGATTCGTGATCTCCGTCGGCGCCTCCATCTGGAGTACCTGCGTGCTGAGCGCCAAAGACTTCTTCGGGTCCGTCACTATTTGACGGCCGGGTGTCTAATGATACCTATTTGGTCGTCTTGGATGAGCTTGTGGCTGCATGGAAATGACCTGAATATGAGAAACATGACAAGTCTTAGTCGGTACGTCTGATTCCAGAAGAAACGATTTCTTGCGCTAATCGCTATCACTCCGCTGTTTTTGTTTTGTTGTGCTTAACTATTCGCCACAGACAACCTTTCAAGTTCTTATTGGATAGGTTTTCCTTGTTCTACATTATCCCGAAACACTACCCAAAGGGGGGGCGTCCACGGAAATTGCAGGAGCTCCATCAAGTCCTTGGCTTGCTGCTTGCGTTCTGCGTGGGGTCCATGCAGAATAATGCTCTCTGTATGAATTTTGGGCTTCCTCCCTCAACGCTTAGTCGTATTATCAAGGATGCTGAGAGAGCGCTGGCTCGGGCTCTCGTCGGATTCTCGCCAGCTCGTATATCGTGGCCTTCTCTTGCTCGTCAAAGAGCATGTGCCGAGATGGTGCTCAGCGCCAACCTTTGCTGCAGTACTGCTGGGGCTTCATCGATGGCAAGAATTTCCGTGTGGGTATCTAAATAATCGAATGTTTAAGTTAAGTCTGTTAATACTTTATCTCTGCGCTGTCATATTCTAGGTTTTGCAGCCGTCCAACCCTGACGTTCAAAACGCGCACTACAACGGGTGGCTACACGGGGTCTTCGTGACAGGGACGCTCTGCTTTTCCGCGGACGGGCTCATTGTATGGGCGAAACACAACAACCCGGGGAGCTGGAACGACGGCGATATGAGCCTCGCGTTTCAGGAGTGCCTTGCTGACCCCCACTTCTGTCCCGACCCCCGCTATGGAGTCGTAGCGGACAGTGCTTTCCCTTGTGGAGGAAGAATGACAGGGAAAATCATTACTCCCTTAAAGGAAGGGGATCTCCAGAAGCTGCTACCATCCGTTCGTCCTGTCGCGAGAAAGTTGTCACGCGCTATAACGTTTGTACGGCAGGCGGCGGAGTGGGGTATGGGCTCCGTCGCCAAAGTGTACCATCGACTGTATTTACCTCCTTCTTCTGGAAAGGTAGAGCGCGCCGTTCGTCTAGACAATTTGTTCAGATTATCTAACTACAGAGTTCGCACCGTCGGTATCAGTCAGATTCGTACTACACACGTCCACGGTCGAGAAGATTATCAATAACGTGTGTGAAACATGCATCGCTCGTTCGCTCATTATACGTCACAATATTTTGCACTATGCAGCTCAACACTAATGATATCATGGCCGAATGACTTCATGATAGCAGTTGCACCACTGCGTATACTTACTTGTTGATAAGCTTTGCGAGCATCATCATCATTTCGGAATGTCGCTCTCGGGCCTCAGAGCGTTCGAGCTCCATTCGCGCCTCGAATTGGCGACGGTTTTCCTCCTTCTCGGCCTTCCACTTCTCTTCTCGTGCAAGTCGATCGGCTCTCTCTTCTCGAAGGCGATCACTCTCATCCTGCCTCGCGCGTTCTCTTTCTTCCTTTTCCCTCTTTTCGACAGCGTCTCTTTGAGCTTTCTCTTCATGGCGCCGTAGCTCTGCTGTTTCGGCTTTTCGGTCGCTCTCTGCACGGTAAAATATCAAAAGGCGCGTCATGTCGTTGGTATCGGATCCGTGTGCCTCCTCTAACCCGGTAATCTGCTTTCCAAGGTTTTCGATACGCTTCGCGGTCTTTGTGCGTTTCGCTTGACTGAAGGTCTCGAATCTTAACTCGTTCACTCTGTTAGAGCGCTTACCCAGCTCTTCGATGTTGTCTCTCACAACTGTAAGATCTTGACCTCCGAGTCGATTGCTGACACTGGAGAGACGGGGGTTGCGAGCTTTCTCGCGAGCGTCGGCTACAGCACGCCCTGGGTCACGAAACAACACTGCTCCGTCCGGAGAAGTCATAGGTGGCGTGGTAGGCGTCGGCTTCGGCGGACGACCCGCACTTCTCTGTGAGACTTTTTCAGTGACCCCTTGAGGCCGAAATGTGGTGTTTGTGTCGGGATTCGGTGACAACTCTCCATAGCTAGTTCGACAGCATTAATCAACACCAGCGGCCGGGTTGTCTATACTCGTTTGAAAGTCACCGACGTTATCGCCATCCACATCGTTGGCGCAAGGTTCTTCTTCTCTGTCTTCTTCGTCCTCGTCCGAGTCGGAGAGGTCGAGAGCCGCAGCAAGGGAAGCATCAAACGTTCCGGAACTAGTTATAGCAATGCCAGAGTACTGTGCTTCCGGAGACTGAGATTGTTGGAACATTGGGCAAGCTGCGAGACAACATTCTTCTCTTTACTGGCTGGAGAGCTGCCGACAGGATCGCGTTCTTGCGAGACAGACGTGTGTCCCTCGCGGCACCCGTTAGCTACAGGCAAGTGAGGCAATGGGGCCCCGCCGCTAGACGCAGGTCGATTGATCTGGCTTTGATTCTCTTTCTCCTCGTCTTCTTCAGTCTCGACGCCGTCGAAGGATGTATGCGTCCCGGCTTTTTCTTCGATGGTCATCTGAATTTTTTTGGCCCACATAATTGCCTTGTGCGCAGGTTTCACCTCTCCGTTGCCCGATGGTTTTGGCTTGTTGTACAGATTTTTGAATTTTCGGCGTAGAGAATCCAAGTCTCTCTCAAGTGAACTCCTGCCTCGGCGGGAGTTATACCGGATCGTCAGACGCTCCCACTCGTTCCTCCCGGTAGGAACAATCTTCTCTGCAATTGCACACAGTAAAAGACGGAGTAATTCGCGTAGCCAGTTCTTCGACCTCTCTGGTCGAAAACACGATATCAGTAGTGATCAGACTCACAGCGATGGGAACTGTTTTTGCATACCGTCATAATCCGTGAGTTGTTGCTTCGGCTCTTGATAGAAGATCGGGGAATGAAGAGCAAATCCTTCGAGCCGCATAATTTAACCTCGCAAGAAAAAGACACGAAGATTTAACCTCGAGAAGTCAAACGTTCGAAAAAAAGTGGGCCGTATTCACATACGAATCTTTTCAACATTTACACTTTGTCTCGAAGTTGGAGTACCTCATGACATACGCAGCTGACTACAGATCGTGCAGGTGCTGGATATCTCTGTGCTGGCATCCGTCCCATCCGCAACGGCAAATAAACCACAACGCGTTCCCATACGCTACCGTGATTTCATCTCCTGGGAACACATCTCTGACGGTGGCGACCGCCACCGTCAAATGTCGACCCGTTTGAACCTCGTAGAAGCGAGCACAGGGATTTCAGGCGTGATTGGCCAGCCTGAAGAGACCACCCGCCTCTCTGGCGTCAATGCCGTAACGCTGTCCAGATTGAGCAGGTGTCTTCAGATGAAGCATGTAGCCGTTGTTTCGGTATCCATTTGCACACGGAGGTCCAAAAACCTCGATCTTGCCAAAATATTCCCCAATAATTGTGTCCTTTGGGATAGCGCGAGTAGCAACAAGACCGAGGCCACCTCGGAAAGAGCTTTTGCAAATGGCAATGCGTTTACTTTCTCTTAAGGCATTTCCACACATACCCGCGTAAGAGCAATTTCCACGGTAGCAAAAGCGATTGTACTTCGCATTTTGGCAGGTCAAAACATTGCAAAGCTCCCGGCAGTGACACATCCCACCTGCTGACACGGAGGCATATTTGAAGTAGGCTGGTGTGATGTGGCCGTGGAGACGCTCCACATGTTCAGGCCAAGTTGCTGGTTCCCAACGTTTTGGCCCTTTCGAATGACCTTTGGTCTCAATGACCTCAAACCCCGGCGAGCTACATGTCGAAGAAAGAGTCGAATCCGAGTCATGCCCTGAGTGGTGCCTCGTGGACCCCGGCACCACGTCGAACGCCGAAGAAGCTTGCGAGATAGAGAAGTAGGAGTCGGCGCTTTGGTTGAGCCTTCCGTTCTTCTTTGCTTTACGCGTCGGTTGAAGACGTAGTCTGGAAGGAGACGACGATGCCTGGCCTACGAAGGACTCCTCCGAGTCAGATCCGTGGAGCCTCAGGTCTAGTGTAGAAGCCACGGAAGAGGTGTCCGACCATGCCGACACGACGTCAGAAAGAGATGTGATAGCTCGATCCATCGGCACTATACGAGACGACCCAGACACGGCGTCAGGAGCATACTGGATAGAGTCTCCATCGGAAGTATCGGGCAGCGAAAACATCGTCGTCTGCATCGTACCAGTGGCGAACACACCCGGAACGTCCAGATCGTGCGGGCTCACGATGGGGTCGTTCCTCTTCGTAGGAGATGGTCTTAACCGCTTGGCGAGGCTCCTAAGTCCGCCAATACTGCCGGCGTCTCCAGGGGCGCGCTTACGTTTTCCACTTGCGCGTGTCATCACGAAGCTGGCGCCTGCATCGACGGCATGTAAGAACAAGACCCAGCAAAAGATTGTACCATAGCAATTTGAACGTGCACGCACAAAATCGATTTAACGGAGAGCAAACTTCGAGCTCTCTCTTCTCCAGCCTTCCAGGCAGATTCGAATATGAGAGGTAGTTTAGGCGCGGTTTTTGAGGTTCGACCCGCGCGCGCGAAGATGTCATGACGCTTGAAGATCCAAGTTAAACGGGGGGGGGGGTTGCAGCTTCAGGGGATATTGAAGCTCAGCAATACAGCTTAACATACACTTTGGGATGGGTTGCCGCTTGACCGCACACACTTAACGTCGAGTTTTTCTCGAAAAACATGAATAAATCGAATTGTTTGATCTGACCATTTTTTTGGTCAACCAAACAATTTCGGTTTAATCCGCCGTTTAATTGCACGTTTGATCTGACCTAGCCCTACGTATAAAACCTGTTTTATGTGGGTTTTGGAAGGCGCCCACTGGTGCACCATAGAAAAACAGCTTTATTGGGGGGCTCTTTAATTAATCGATATCGTTCCGTTCACGTCGGAAAAGGCAGGTTGAAGGTACATGTAACACACGAATTGTAATCATGTGTGAGCTACAGAATTTACAGTATTATTATAATACATGTGCTGCAGCAAGAAACGAAAACGAGAATGAACAGTACTGTACAACTGTAGATGAATCATGACACAGATACGTGTACACTGTGTGCAGCTTGGTGCCGTTGCTGAGAAGTACTGAGCTAATCATACTACATGTAGTACTTTTTAGGAAAAGTACCTACCACTTTAGTCTAATCTTCAGCTTGATGAAAAAAACATGAAGCGGTGATCTCTATTAATATTGATGCCCGTCAGGCAATTCGTGTACGACGAGAGATAATCGGAAGTCCCGACAACGCGAAGGTTGGTCTCGCTGAACACCGAATGCAAGTCTCTATATTTTCTGTGCACTCTCTTTTGGCGATCCGCCTTTTCTACAAAGTCCAGACAGTTTCAACTTGCCCGCGTCTGTGTCCAGTGAGCATCCGGCGATACATTCGTTGACCGTCTACCGGTAGGCACAAGCGTCTTGGGTTCACCTTCACGGACTTGCTGTTCGTACAGCTCCATTTCCAGATTTTAGCTCGCCTAGGAAGTCGATACGAAGTCGATCGGCAGAACGCACAACTCGTGATCTGCCGCGATGCAGTCGGTGAATATTTACTCCGATTACACGTGCACTTCAGCGCCGAGTTCCATGTCCATCACGGAGTCTACGAGTTGTACAGGCTCCAGCTGCACAATTACCTACATCGGTACCGAGTATTACTACACTGAGACAACTTGTCCATCTGACGCGAAGAGCTACGCAGCGAGCACTTACGGAAGCACAAAGTATCTTTTGGTGGAATTGTACTCGGATATCGACTGCTCCAGCTACACAGGAACCGCCGCGATCGTTGGGTCGGGGACATGCGAAGCCCTTGGCACCATGGGCCAAGGTATCATCACGAACGTCTACGCTAATGGCTCAGCGCAGTTCCAGTTCTACTTGGACACAACATGCACGTACGCCACCAGTTCCCCATACGTCATCAGCAAAGACCTGCTCACAAGTCACGCGTGTTTCCAAGGATACAAACTGTACTCTAACTCGGACGGATCAACGACCAGTGGGGCCAGTCAAACTGATGACTTGACTAGCGACACAGATGGAACCACGACAGGAAGTACCGGTAGTGACAGCTCCGGGTCAAATACCGGTCTCATCATCGGTATCGCTGCTGGTGCTGTCATTCTTCTGCTTATCATAGGCATTCTATGCTGGCGATGTCGTCGCAACAAGAGCCAACAGGGGGACGAATTGCGTGTCCAGAGTCCACTAGCTTTCGAAGAGGATGCGTCGTCGTCGACTCAGTTCCATCGAATGCCCATAACTCCACAGAAAACGGGCACAGCGTCTACGACCCTGGCCAGCTCGGACGGGGTTCTGCCTAGTAAACTCTGGGACGACGAAGCGATCATCGCTGCGCGGATCCCGAGAGAGAAAGTAGTAGTCGAACGCCTGATCAACCGAGGCGGCTTTGGAGAAGTGTATGTGGGGACATACAATGGCCATCAAGTGGCCGTTAAGATGCTGCTACCGGAGCGCAAGAAGAGCTTGACGCAAGTGAACGCCTTCTTGTCTGAAGTCAAGCTCATGAGTACGCTTGACCACGCGCATATTGTACAATTCGTCGGCGTTGCGTGGGATTCGCTCACGGATTTATGTGTTGTAACGGAGTATATGGTCATCGACTTGAAGGCGCTTCTGGCCAAGTTCGAAGAGCAACGAATGCCTGTTGGCTTCGATCATGATAAGGTCAAGGTGGCGCTGCACGTCGCTCACGCTTTGACGTACTTGCACTCGTGTGCGCCTCCCGTGATCCACCGCGATCTCAAGTCCAGCAACATTTTGTTGAATGAGGCGATGGACGCCAAAGTGACGGACTTTGGCATCTCTCGGGAACGTATTGATGCCACCATGACTGCAGGGGTCGGCACGTCTCTGTGGATGGCGCCCGAGGTGATGCTGGGCGAGCGATACGACGACAAGGCTGATTTGTTTTCCTTCGGTATTGTGCTGTCCGAGCTCGACCGACACGTCCTCCCGTACTCGTACGCGAAGAAGAACACGCAGTCGGGTCAACGTCTTACGGACACGGCCATTCTGCAAATGGTGGCGGCTGGCAAATTGCGCGTCCAGTTCTCCGACGCTGCGCCGCAGTCGATGGTACAATTGGGACTCGAATGTGTCTCCACCGACCCGAAAGAACGACCAACGGCGGCTGAAGCACTGTACCGCCTGCAAAAGATATTGGCACACGAAATGTAAGGCCAAATAGCTGTGTTAAATTGTGGTCGACTCGGCATCATCATCAAGTTAATTTGTTAATCCCATCACGGTGATAAATCTTCGAACCTAATTGGCACCTTTTCAATACATTTTGCTATATGTTTGTCGTGGCAAATCGATCTCGGGATGGATATTTGCACTTGCCCTGCACTTTAGAGCACTGCGGTCTTCACTATGCAACCCATGCGACGTTTTCCGCTTTCAGCGGATCACGTTTGACTCAAAGTTCGGGCTTGTGCTGCAAGCAGAATTGCTGTCCGTAGATTTTTGTCCATTCTCCAATTCCTGTCCGAACCGCTCGATTACTAGAAACTCTCACCAGGGGTCTTCAGTTCCGCGATGCAGTCGACGGAGGTCTATTCGGATTCGTCATGTGAGTCTCCAGTATCGGTGACCATCACCTCGAGCGTATCCTGTACGAGCTCGGACTGCAGGTCGGCCACTATCGCCGGTAGCACATTCTACACGGCTACAAGCTGTCCGTCGAATATTTACTCACACGCAGCAGATGTCTACGATGACACGGATTATTTGTTGGTCGACATGTACAGCGGGGTGGAATGCAACACATACATCGAATCGGTAGCGTATGTTGCCTCTGGAGAGTGCGAAGTCGCTGGCACCGACGACCAAAGTGTGATTGCCACTTTGAACTCGAACGGGTCGGCACAGTTGACGTACTACCTGGACGACACGTGCACCCTCTCCGCACAAACCTCGTATTCGATTACAGAGGACGAAATCACAAGCCACTCATGTTCCTCGGGCAGGAAATACTACTCTAGCTCTGAAGGTTCTGCTACTAATGGCGTGAGTAGCGCTTCAAGTAGCTCATCTTCATCCAGCTCAAGTGACAGCTCTGGGATCGGCAGCGGCGCGATCGCAGGGATCATCGTCGGTGTGCTATTCGCTCTGGTACTTGTCGGGTTACTCGTGTACAGGAGACGCCAGCGACGTCGTAGAGAGCAACAAACTCATCGTACTCCGGATTTTGGTCAGACGAATGACCTACAAGACGTAGCGTATGAAGCGCAGGCGAGCCCGGCAAAGCCTTACCGACAGACAACCATCACCACGTCCTCAGACTTCGATCGTCGTCATTCCGCTAAACTGTGGGACGACGACGTCATCGTTGCAGCTCGCATCTCTCGCGAGAAGGTACAGGTGAAACAGCTCATCAACCGTGGTGGATATGGAGAGGTGTACATTGGCAGCTATCATGGCAAGGATGTCGCCGTGAAGATGCTGCTGCCAGAAACAAAGAAAACGATGTCGCAAGTCAATGCCTTCCTGTCTGAAGTGAAGTTAATGGCAAGTCTTGATCACCCTCGCATCGTTTCATTCATTGGAGTGGCCTGGGATCAACTCATCGACATTTGCGTTGTGTCCGAGTACATGGCTGGAGGTGACCTGAAGGCTCTGCTGTCTGACTATGAAAAGAATGGCCACCCAGTTGGTTTCGACCACACCAAGGTCAAGATCGCGCTTCATGTTTCGATTGCACTCACGTACTTGCACTCGTGTGCATCGCCAGTGATCCATCGCGACTTGAAGTCGAAGAATATTCTGCTGGATGAAGCGATAAACGCTAAAGTTACAGACTTTGGCATTTCTAGGGAACGTATTGACGCGACGATGACCGGAGGTATTGGAACGTCTTTCTGGATGGCGCCCGAGGTTATGATGGGCGAGAGATATGACGATAAGGCAGACATGTTCTCGTTCGGCGTGGTACTATCAGAGCTTGATTCCCACGTCATGCCCTACGCTTTGTCCAAGAGCGCGAGCAGTACCGAATCGTCTTCTTCCTCTAAGCCGAACAAACTGCCAAATGCTGCGATCCTGCAGATGGTAGCGGCTGGCAGGCTGCGTGTTCACTTCTCCGAAGCAGGACCGCAGTCGATGGTGGATCTGGGACTTGCTTGTGTGTCGGTGGACCCGAGGAAGCGACCTACTGCAGCTGAAGCATTGTATAAGCTTCAGCAAATCCTGGCAAAGGAGGTTTAGCATGTAAACGAAAACTTTGCGTGACCGACGCAATATAATCCATTATGAGTGTCATGTCGAATTAAAGCGTTTTGTTGGGATCCCTCCACTTAAACCATAGTCATTCTCCTACTCCCGTACACGGAAAATACATGCCAGCGTGACCAAAATCAGCTTTGATTTCTCTAAATATTTTGTCAAGCGCAACTAACAAGCCAATCACCTACCGTCTTACCCCGCACAAAGCGCCCAGGCGTACTAAAAAATATTATGATGTGGTTTAGAGCAGTGTGTAACCTCGATTACAACGTAAAGTAGAATACAAGGACACACCGCGGGAAGGGTTCTATTAAATTAATGAACTCTAAGCCAATGCTTTTAGAACGACTCTAATGCATGTAGAAATCTACTCTCCACCAATTCTTTTATTGTAGCTGAGACCATCAACGCTCAACTGCTCATTCTAAAAATATCTGAGTAGCTTTGACATATCTTTTGTGTGCGGGGCATTACATGTACATCTTCCCTGATGGGTCCTCAACTGACACAACCAGAATCGATTAATGGACCAGCAGTATGCCAATCCATGCTTCGAGTCGAAGCCTTCGACCAATTGAGCCGTCAGCACATAATAATGTGACGTGCATGCATATATATTTGTAGCTGTATAATCTCCACCTGACCTGTGCGTTCTTCAAAGTTAAGAAGTTTGTTCGTAGAATAGCGCCTAGGCACTCAAAACGAATAAAGCGCTCACTGGGCGCTATATTTTACCTGGGCGCTCTGTGCGGGGTAAGACGGTAGCAGTAGGCGACAACGCGATGTGGCAAGAAAACGTAACACAAATCGGCTGCTGCAATTTTATGGTTCTGATTGGCTAAAAACGCGGTAGAACGACATCCAAATGCTTTCTGGGCCACAATGCTTCATTGTGCGGCACCAAAAACTCTTCCATGTTATTGAGAGTTGATGCGAAACACAGAGGTCATTTAAAAAATTATTTGATGGCGGTGGGAGTATAAGCACATACCTGAGTACTTGTACTCACTCCAATTATTAAAAATACTTTAAGTTGCTTGCGAGGCTTTGCTGAGTAGCTTGCACCGTGTATCTTAAAAAGTTTGTCCCCAGTGTTTCACAGCAAGAATGTCTTCATACGTACTGGCATCACGCTACGATACACAGTACAGAGCGGCATCATTTTTTTTACTGAATATGGGCTCCTTTTAAAAAAACTGAGAACTTGCCTTCTGTTGAACTGGCCTCTAAACAGTATGATTACCTTAAAAGAATATCTCTAAGATATTATAATGAGATTTAGGAGGTCATGCTTAAGCCGTTATAACTGACTTAAACTATGCTATCACAAATGGCTGGTTTGCAGCTATATAGTGGCTTCCTAAGACTAATAAAGTGCTCGTTTCGTCTTTTGACGCCTACAAGTAACTTCTTCTTCTCTCTTCATCTTCTCTACCTGGCTACCGAGCCATAGGTTATGAGCCCAAGCCAAGCCTCAAGTGACGACTTCCCACGCCTTATTGGCGCCGAGAGCTTCGACGTCTGGAAGCCCCGTGTGTGCGCAGCACCAGATGGCAAGCACCTACTCGGCTACGTGAAGCAGTCTGACTACGATGGTGTCTATGGAGACGAGAGTGAAGACAGCTGCAGCGATATATCTGACACCAACGATAAACCGCATGTCAGCGCTACCAAGAACGTCGAAATTAAATCCGACGCTGTGGACTACGACGAGAACGAAGACGAGCTCAAGCCGTCCTCAGACTTGGACGACGACTCTAAAGCCAGCTCCGATACGTCAATCAAGAGGAAGGACCTCCCAACTGCTCGGCCATTTAGCCAGCGCGAGGCTCGCCGTGCACGCAAACGCGCCAGGAAAGAGACGACACAGCCTCTTAGCCAGCATAAACGCCGTCGACAAGAAGCCAATACCAAAGCCTTCTTGATGAAAACGATGAGCAACATGCACGTGCGGCTGGTCAAGAATCTTACGACATCCTACGAGATATTCAACTACATCTGTCAGAAGTACGAGGGGGCAGCCTTTCATGATGCTTCGTACTTAATTCAATATTACTTGATGGAGATCAAGTATATGAAAGGCTCCGACTTGACCGAGTTCTTTTTCAAGCTTGAGAATGCGATGAAAGCCGCGTCAGAAGCCACCGAATCGGTAATGACCGAAGGACTGAAGTCTATCGACCTGTTATAAGTCGTGGAAGGACGATTCTGCATCTGAAAGGACCAGCGGAAGTATATCCCGTATGAAAACCTTAAGCAGAGCATTGAAGGTAAGGTTCGCGATCTTCAAGCTCATGAGCGCTACACCTTGGGCAAGGACACACCAAAGACCTCCGCAACCAAGGGTGAGAGAGGTCTAGTGGCTACCAGACCTCCTGTGTCACACGCGCAAGGCTGTAACAGCGCCAATGTCTACTCCTACTGTTATAGCTCACGACACAGCATTCATCAATGCCGAGGCCTTCAAAACGATTTGCGCGATAGACGAGTGAAGGTTGGGACAGGGCTTCCTGCTAACTTCGCCTTCAAGGGTAACTCGAAACGCGATCACCCGTACAAGAACTCGCCAAGGATGTCGTGACACCGGTCTCATCGCTGTTGCTACCACAGTTAATCTTCCGTTTAGCCTCACCGCTCAAGCCAAGGTAGAACCCGACCTCACCTGGACGATCGAATCTGGCTGCACTCGCCATGTCACAAATGAATATCTGTGGTTTACCGACATCACCTCCAGTGGTGGCTCAATTACGGTTGGTGGTAATTACCAAATCCCCATCGAAGGCATTGGACGGGTCGATCTGGAAGTCACTGACTCCAAGGGTACTATATCCTTCATGGAGCTCTGTATGCTCCCCAGCTCCAATTCAGTCTGCTTTCAATTTTAGCAGCTGTGAAGTACGACTTTCGCTTCAACTTTGACCGCAAACATTGCTATATGCAAGCTGACCAGCTCTTCGGGATCAAAGTGTTCATGGCTACCAACACTGATCTGTACCAGTTCCAAGCCAAACCATCGGCACCTCCAGCGGCTCTTATTGCCTCATGTAAGCAATGTTGCTTTCTGCTCTTACATAAACGCCTTGGACACCCTAACGTTCGTGTCTTGAATGGCCTATCTAGGAGGCAAGCTATACATGGACTCGATGGATCTATACCTCTAGATCCAAAGACAGAGTTTTTTGTGTTGCCTGCACGTTAGCGAAGTCACACCACTCTCATTTTACTCCAATAGAGTTGTTAAACGTGCTACATCACCCCTTTGTCAAAAGTCCATTCAGATATCTGTGGTCCACTAACTGTGCCTAGCCTTACTGGTTGCCGCTCCTTCTTGATCTTCATCAATGACGTTTCTCGATTCATATTCACTTATGCATTTATAACCGTAGCGAGTTGTATGACTGCTTCCAAGACTTCAGGAAGAAAGCCCTAAATATTTTCAGACAAGATATATTTGTCATTGAGTACACGTTCAGTGTTGAAGACAATGCAAACCATCGCAACTGTGAGATTCAGCGGCTTCAAGCAGACAGCGCTAAAGAGTACGAGAAGCTTTGCCGCATCGTATTTAAAAAGTATGGAGCTCAAGCCCAGTTTACCAATGCATACACATCTCAGCAAAATGGAGTTGCAGAACGCCGCATGCGTACCATCATGGAGCGTGTCCGAGCCTTTCTACTTGACGACAAACTACCCAAGCAGTTATGGGCCGAGTGTGTGTATCATGTGACCACTCTCATCAAAATGACTCCTAGCTTCAAGGCGGATGGACGAACTTCGTACGAGCTTTAGCACAACCGTTTTCCATCCATGCAGTACATCAAAGTATTCGGATGAAGCGATTATGTCCACATCACGGAGCAATACCGAGACAACTCGACGCTAGAGCCCGTTTGTGTATGTATCTTGGTGTGCCTGACCATAAGAAAGGCTACCGTCTGATGGACATCAATACTCATGCAATTATCTACAGTCGTGATGCAGTCTTTAAAAAGGACGAACTTCCCTCTCTCACAGGCCTGACGTCTACTCCAGAGTCCACACAGTGCACGAATCGGCAGCAAACTACCGCTACACTTGCCTGTACCTCTGCCACCTACAACTGCTACTACAGTAGCACCGGAGCCAGAACCAGTGACCACACCGTCTCCCACCTCAGGCCCTGCAATGACAGCAGCGCCAGGCACAGTGAACCAACGTGTACTACCCTCACTGAGGGAGGATCTTGATCGAACAGCCATACATTATTCTTTTTGAATAGAGACGGATTCTGATCCTCCGCATCATTCGACTCCTAAGCGACCCCGCTTCTCCGCGGAAGCCATTGATAGCTCTGAGGAAGCCAACGACGTAACTCTCAGCTCTGAGGAAGGCATACACGAACAGGAGCAACGTCAGCATTTACTGTACACTTTACTTGTTATTCGGTATGTGTCTGAGCCCACTACGTATCGGAGAGCAATGAAGTCTTCCCACGCTAACCAGTGGCATAAAGCAGCTAAATTAGAATACAAGTCCCTTATGGACAATCACTCTTGGGTGTTGGTATCCCCTCCGAAAGGAAGGAAGTTTTTAAGTTGCCGATGGATCTTTGTTGTGAAGTGGCGAAATCGACCGCTTTAAAGCGCGTCTTGTGATCAAAGGATTCCTTCATGAATATGGCATCGACTACAACAAGATATTCTCTCCTGTCAGGATGGAGGTACTTAGACTACTTCTAACTATTGCAGCTCTTCTCGACTTTGAAGTTCACCAAAAGGATGTTAAGACAGCATTCCTGAATGGCTATTTGGAAGAGGAGATCTACATGGATCATCCGGAATGCTTCAAAATCCCAGGCAAAAAGCGCCTAGTGTGTAAACTTGTTAAGAGATTTTACGAGCTGAAGCAAGCGCCCCGGGTCTGGTACCAAGCCCTGACGGCCTTCCTAGAGAGTCTATGGCTCCTGAAACTTATTGAAGATCGATGTGTCTTACGACGCAAAATTGGTGACATCACCTGTTACATTGCAGTGTACGTCGATGACTTGCTGATCATTGC